TTCTCTCCCCTACCATCACCAACCTCGTCACTTTCGCGCTGGTCCCGAAACGCCCTCGCGGCACCCTTTCTCACTCCCCTCCAGTCACTCACCTCGTCGCCTATGTGCTCGCCACGGAAAGCTCTCTCGTCGCCCACCCCGTTTCCCCTCCCATCACCCACTTCGTCACATTCCCGCTCGGCCTGAAACGCCCACGTCGCTGTCCGTTGCGTCGCCCTCGCGATCTCATCGCCCACCCCATCGCCACGCGCTCGCACGAAACGCTCTCTCGTCCCTAAACCCGATTTCCCCTCCCATCGCCTTTCGCGCTCTCGTCCCGAAATGCCCCCCCCATCGCCTTTCTTCTTCCCCCTCCCATCACCCACCTCGTCGCTCTTACTTTAAAACGCCCTCAACACGCCCTTCCTCCCTCCCCTCCCATCACCTGTCCCGTCGCCTTCGCGCTCTCCCCGAAACGTCCTCACATCGCCTTTCTTCCTCTCCATTCCTATCACCCACCTCGTCGCCCTTGCGCTTGCCTCGTTGTCCAGTTCGCTAACCAACTGGGCTAAAAGGGCATGTTTCCTTGGTGGGTCAGCGCACCCATACCCCCCCAGGACGACACCTGTAGCCCTTGGGGAGACCACTTCGGGCCATTCCAGTGTCCACTTCCAACACTCCCCTCACTGGGAGGGCCCACCACTAGGGCACAGGAAGTCGCCAATAGCAGGAATCGAACCCTGGTCCTCCACGCTCACCGCACCATGAAGGAATATATTAGAGAGCGTAGCGATAGCGAGAGAGTCTCTGCTATGGGAATGATGTTGCGCCAGCAACTTGGTAGAGTTTCGGTAGCGTTTGCCTCTAAGGACTTAGTGAGAATTGAAGTAGCATTTGGACTTCACTAGGAAAATAGAATATATGAAACACACAAGCAAACACAAACATATATAGGCAAGCAAGAGTTGCACAATTGTTGCGTGGCGCTGCGAGTAACCCAACCCACACGAAACTGCTGTGCAGGTGGGTGAACGCGCCCCGCACATGTCCAACCCAACTCGGCACCGGAATGTCTCACCGTGCACGCTACTCATGCCAACACAGCAAGTGAGCAGCGTGCCTCACAAGCAAGGCACCTACGACCCCCAAGACTCGTCATTCCTAGCACCAATTCCGCCGAGTTCGCTGCAGTAGCTCACAGTCACCCGTAGTCACTAATGACCGCCACCGAACTCGTGCGTCGGTGCCGAGTAGACTCAGTCGTTAGGCGCCGACCTGCCAAGTCAAAGGTCATCGAGGGCCCTTGCTGTCGTAGGGCCCTCTAACACTCCCCTGCCATACTACAGCAAGGCCCTTTATAATCACAGGGCATGCATACACACATACACACCAAAACAAAGGGATACACACAAACGAAACACGCTCAAAGTGTAAACACGCACCGCACCAGCCATGGATAGGCCATGGCACCATCCACATCATGGAGTGTCTAGGTCTTCACTCCCCTCACTCGAGAGCCGCACCTGCCCCACAGCCTCGAAGCAACGAATGAAGGCGGGGAAATGCAATGCCTTTGTGAGGTAGTCAGCAGGCTGCTCGCTCGTAGGGATGTACTGCAGCTGCAGCTTCCTGCGCTTGACCATGTGCTGCAGCCACATGTGACGACGCTCCATGTGCTTGAGGCTCCCCTTGAGCCCCATGCCACCTGCCACTGAAATGGCGGAGGAGTTGTCCACAAAGAGAGTCGTGGGCTCCTCACTCCTCAGCAGTTGAAACTCTGCCAGCAGGAAGCGCAGCCTGCGCGCCTCCTTCCCAGCCTCCACAGCAGCAACGTACTCAGACTCAGTGGAGGAAAGGGTGGCGCAACGAATCCGCTGGCTCGCCCATGAGACAGCAGCACCCCCGAGCACGAAGACATAGCCACCTGTGCTGGTCCTGTTCTGCTTGTCCCCTGCATCATCAGCATCGGCGTAGCCCACCAGCTCCAAGGACTCCGGCCCACCACCAAACTCCAGCGCCACATCCCTGCTCCCCACCAAGTACGTCAAGCACCGGTCCAACTCCTTCCAGTGCTGATCACTCCGCACAGTCTGGCCCGACCCCAGCTTGCTGCAGGCGAACGAGATGTCGGGACGGGTGGTACAGGCCGCGAACTGCAAGGATCCCACCTTCTGCCTGTACTCCTCCTCCTGGCGAGACTGCCATCCCACATCCTCGAAGGTCTGCACACTGAAAGGGTCAGAGGAAAGAGGGGTGCGAGGCACTCGCAGCGGCTGCTCCCCGTCAAAGAAGCGCCTATGGACCTTGTCCACATAGGCCCCCTGGTGCAGCCACAGCCTCCTCGTGGGCCTGTCCCGAATCAGCTGCAACCCCAGATATTTCTCCACAGGGCTAATCTCCCGCAGCTGAAAGGCACTCTGCAGCAGGTCACGCAGCTCCGCTAGCATGCTCTGACTGCGGGTGGCAGCAAGCAGGTCATCCACATACACCAGCAGCCAGCACATCTCCCCCTCAGCATCAGTCTTGAAGTACAGAGCCTCATCCACCTTGCTCTTCTTCCATCCAGCCCCAAGCAGCACCCCATCCAAGGCCTCATACCATAGCATCGGGCTCTGCTTGAGCCCATACAGACTCTTCACCAACTTACAGACACGAGGAGTCCCATCCTCGTAGTAGCTCGGCTGCTCCATGTAAAGGTCTCGGTCCAGCACGCCATGGAGGAACGCGTTCTTCACATCGAGCTGCATCAGGTCCAAATCAAGTGCAGCTGCAATCGCCAGAAGCACACGCGCCGTCACATAGCTTCCCACAGGGGCGTACGTCTCCTCATAGTCCACCCCTGCCACCTGCGTGAACCCCTTCACCACCAGCCTCGCCTTCTCACGCTCCACTATCCCATCAGGTCGGAACTTGGTGTTCAAAATCCAGCGGTTCTTCATCACATTCACCCCTGGCGGACGCGGAACCAACTCCCACGTCCCCTGCTCAATCAAGCTCCGCATCTCCTCATCCATCGCCTCCTTCACCTTGTCTCCCTTCCAGCAGCCCAAGGCCTCCTTCACTGTCATTTTCGCTATGTCCCACTGCCTCTCAGGATCAGCTGCCACGTCCGGGTCCAGGTTAGTCCACTCCTCGTCCTCCTCTTCGTCATCCAAGCCCGCTGGCTCAAAGGGCATGTTTCCTTGGTGGGTCAGCGCACCCATACCCCCCCAGGACGACACCTGTAGCCCTTGGGGAGACCACTTCGGGCCATTCCAGTGTCCACTTCCAACACTCCCCTCACTGGGAGGGCCCACCACTAGGGCACAGGAAGTCGCCAACAGCAGGAATCGAACCCCGGTCCTCCACGCTCACCGCACCATGTCCAGTTCGCTAACCAACTGGGCTAAAAGGGCATGTTTCCTTGGTGGGTCAGCGCACCCATACCCCCCCAGGACGACACCTGTAGCCCTTGGGGAGACCACTTCGGGCCATTCCAGTGTCCACTTCCAACACTCGCATCGCCCTCCCGTCAGCCCTCCTAACTCCCTTCCCATCACCCACCTCGTCGCTCTCGCGATCACTCCGAATCGTCTTCCCGTCGCCTTTCCTCTCTCCCTTTCCGCTCACGCCATCCCCTCCCATCGGCGTCGCGCTCACGTTCTCCCCTTCCCCCGCCATCGAGCTCACGTTCTCACCTCCCCCCGCCATCGCATCACCGTCGCGCTCATGGTCTCCCCTCCCATCACCTTTTGGCTCCGAAACTCCCCTCCCTTCTCCCAAGCACCACACATTCTCCCCTCCCCCCGCCATCGCGCTCACGTTGCCCGTCTTCGCATCGCCTTCGCACCCAGATTCTCCCCTGCCATCTCCCTCGTGCTCACGTTCTCTCGTCTCCCGTCGCCTTCGCGCTCGCACCTCCCGTCCCGTACCGTCGCCCTCGTGCCCTCCCCTCCCCAATGCCCCTCCCATCGCCCAACCAGTAACTTTTGCCCCCTTATTCTCTCCCCTTGCATCTTTGTTTCCGCCAGCCTCTCACTCTCCTCTTCCGACTCCCTGACTCTCACTGTCCTCCGCACCCATCACACCCCGAACCCATTCCTACAGCTCTCGCTTTTTACAGAAGGCTCGGGCGCTGCCAATGCAAGTGTTTGGCTCTGCGTTTGATCATTTCCTCGACATCGAAATGAGAATGTGAATGTGGCACGAATGTGCAATTGGCACCCCTTGCGACACATTTGACCAGTTTCCTCGATCAGAATTGGAAAGATGGTTCAGTATCAGGAAAAAAAGAAAAAGTGCAACACATTACACCCTACAAACAAAACCTCTGAATCCGTATATCAAATGGACCCAACTAGAAGGGGGGGGTCACTATTCTGCATACGGGCTTTAAGAGTGCAGCTTGAGCATCTTGTGAAATGGTTTCTGGGAAGTACCATAAGAATTATTATATGTATACAGTTCTGCTGATCCCTGATACCCGTACAAAATTGGACTCGTGCTGAGTTGTCATTCCTCCAGACGCGGCAATGCCCTAACCACAGCTTTTGACCGACTTTTCCTAGCCTCTAGGGACCTATGGGGCGCCTCTTCGTGACCTTGGCGAAACTCCGAATTCCACCTCCATGAACCTGGCGACGGTAGTCACCTCGCTGGGTACCTTCCGTCACCATCATCCAGCAGGAAACTTGTAACCCGGTAACCGCATCAGGTTCGTAGCGAGCGTGGGATGCATCCACGCTGTCAGCAGTACACTCGCAGTTGGAGATGCGAAAACCAAAGCACAGCCACAAACCGTCCGCCTTTATGCTCCATCCGTGTGTCGTGGTCACTGGGACAGCAGCACTCGACCTCTTGTGGCATCTTAGATTGCAGGACTGGCTTACTCAGGAGCTAGTCTTCTATCCCTAGTCTTGCCGCATCGCATCCTCTTCCCACGCGGTAGCTTGCATTCCGGATTCCCACCGTTTTAAGTTGTACCAGCAGGTTGAAGTCAAAGGCGATAGCTTACTCCTCAGACCAGCGTTTCGTTCGCCACCATGCCGTCCCTCGAGGCTTCCCTCTCCCTGCTTGGCTCACAGCAGCCGTCCCTCGCGCCCTTAGCCCCGCGCGTCTCGCACCTTTCGTCTAATTTCCTCGCCGGACTTCGCCTCGGCGGTGCGGGCAATCTCCCGTTGAACAGGGCGGCAATCCCAAGTGCCACGCGGGGTGCTCGTCGCGGTGCCGTGCGAGCAGCGGTCACGGATAGGGTTCCATCGGGGGGACTGGATGACGCCTACAATAGCGACGACGCCGGGTACGCCAGCAGCGGCGCCGCGAATGGCAGCTACACGAGAAACGGCAGAGGAACCGCGAGCAGCGGCAGCAGCAGCGCGAGCGCTTCGGGCGGAGCGCGCATGGTGCCGATCGACGTGGCGCTTGAGAGGATAAGAGGAGCCAAGGGGGAAGCCGCTGCGCGGGCTCGAAGCGGCGACGGCGGAACTAGCGTCTACTACGAGTCGGATGCGACCGGGTTCGGCGTCGCGAGAGGCGGGACTATGGAAATTGTAGGCGGTTCTCTCGCCGGCGTGCCGACGGTAGGCCCGACGCTGGCGCAGCTGGGCGCGGCGGCGGGGGAGGGCGGCGTGCGCCAATTGCCGTCCGACGAGACGTTCCGGTGGTCGCGCGAGGACTACAACGTGCTGCAGCGCACCGTCGACGTGTGGTCCGCCGTGCTCACGCTGCGCGCGCGCCTCGCGCTCGTGGACGCCAAGTGGTCGTACGTGGGCGGCTTCTCCGAGGACAAGCAGGTGCGCGGGTGGGCCCAGGGGGCGTGCGCGTTTCAGCGGGAGAGGAGGAGGAGAGGGGGAATTGGGGGGTGGAATTAGCAGCGGGAGGCTAGCAGAAGCGGAGAAATGCTGCGTGTGCGGGTGCTTGGTTGGATGAGTCGCTGAAGTGGGACGTCCAGAATGTTTGTGCTCGATCAACCACTGAGGTGGCCGTGTTTGCCCATTGCCCACATTCTCTCTCCATGCTTTCTCAACCGTTCCATCCCTTCGACCCTCCAACTCCTTTTGCCCTGCCAATACTCCTCCCCACCCCGCCCCACCCTTCTCGTGTGTGTCAGCGGCTGCGGCGGCGGCGGCTGGCGGCGTGGGTGCGCGAGACGATACTGCAGCTGGGGCCGACGTTCATCAAGCTGGGGCAGCTCTTCTCCACGCGCTCCGACCTGCTGCCCGCCGAGTTCGTCGAAGAGCTCTCCAAACTGCAGGCAAGCTCGCCGCGCTGCGTGCTGCTCCTCGCGTCGCTGGCTGTTCCGCCACCCACGTTCCGCATTCCGCATTCCGCATTCCGCATTCCGCATTCGCATTCCGCCCTTTCCCCCCCACCACCCCGCTCCCCCGACCCCCGCACCTCCGTGCTTCCTCCGCGCCTTCCCCACTCGTTGCCCTCTCATGCGCCCCACCCGTCGCCACCATCAACTCTTCCCCACACTCCCGCCCTCCCCTCCCCCTCCCCCTCACTTCCAGGACCGCGTACCCGCGTTCTCCGGGGACAAGGCGCGCGCAGCGATAGAGGCGGAGCTGGGGCAGCCGCTGGGGGAGCTGTTCCGCGAGTTCGAGGAGACGCCCATCGCGGCGGCGTCGCTGGGGCAGGTGCACCGCGCGGTGCTGCACTCGGGCGAGGTGGTCGTGGTCAAGGTGCAGCGCCCCGCGCTCAAACAGCTCTTTGACATCGACCTCGGTGTGTGCGCTGGGGGGCGCTGTTGGGGGCTTGTTCTGTGCCGGGTGCTGGGCTGGCTGGCTGGTGTGGCGTGGGCGTTTGTGGGGTGGAGAAGGGGCTACGAAGGAGGGGCGGTGGTGGTCTTTCTTTGAGGGGTGATGCTGAATGGTGTGCGCCGGATGCTGCTCGCCGTGCTGCCTCTCTGCCCTCCACACTCACACGCACCACATGCCTGCTATGTGTTGCCCATTCTCATCTCCCCGCTCCCCGTCCCCTCTCTCCCCGCGCCCCTCCTCCCTCCCGCACCCCCCTGCTGGCACGTGGTAACAGAGAACATGCGGTTGGTGTGTGAGTACTTTCAGAACAGTGAGAACCTGGGAGGGCCCACCAGGGACTGGGTCGGCATCTACGAGGAGTGCTGCACGTGAGTCCCACCCCACCCCACCCACCTAACCACCCTGTCTCCACGTATGCAAACCCGCCACTGTGCTCCAAACCTTAGTGTGCGATCCATGCTAGCGGTGCATTCCCTGCTCCCTGACTGCATCCAGCTGCATCACATGCCCTGCACACTGCAGGCATCTCGTGCCTCGTTCCCACAATCTGTAACGCCTGCACGTGCAATGCCCTTCTCCTGTCCTTTCTCCTACAATGTCTCTCAACTTCCCCCTTTCCAATCTCCTCCTCTCCACCTGCCCTCCCCCCTCGTATCTCCCCGCCCTTGTAACCAATCCCACCTGTCCCCCCCATCCCTGCCGTCCCACTCCCCCCCCTGTCAGCGTGCTATACCAGGAGATAGACTACCTGAACGAGGGGCGCAACGCGGACCGCTTCCGGAGGGACTTCCGGCGGTACGCGTGGGTGCTGGTGCCGGAGGTGTTCTGGGACTACAGCACGCGCAACGTGCTCACGCTCTCCTACCTGCCCGGCATCAAGATCTCCGACATCACACGCCTGGACGAGGCGGGGGTCAACCGCCCTCTTGTGGCGCAGCGAGCCATCGAGGGGTATCTCATTCAGGTGGGGCACACCGGGGGAAGGGGTTGGGGGGAATGGGTTGGGGGTATTGCTCGGGTCGCGGAGGTGGTAACCTTGTTTATATGGGAAAGGAAGAGGTGCGTGTGTGGGGGGTGTGCCTCGTGTAGGTGGGCAACAGGGGTGCCTGTATGCTGCCTTGCCCTTTGACCAACTTTCACACGTTCTTACAACACTCCATTCCATGAGACCCAGCCTTGACTCCCAGTGCTCGTTCTTCCCACTCTTCCCCCTCTCCTTCCCCTCATCCCATTCCCCTCTCCCCCTCTAACCGTCTCCTTTCCCTCACCCCATTCCCATTCTCCCTCTTCCCTCTCTCCGCCCATCCTTTCCCCCATCAGATCCTGCGCACGGGGTTCTTCCACGCGGACCCACACCCCGGCAACCTGGCGGTGGTGGCGGGGGATCGCCTGGTTTACTACGACTTTGGCATGATGGGGGAGATCCCCGCGTTCACCAAGGACCGCCTCACCGCCATGTTCTACGCCGTGTACGAGAAGGACGCCAAGAAGGTCATGCACTCGCTCGTCGACCTTGGCGCGCTCGTGCCCACTGGAGACCTCAACTCGGTGCGTGCTGCCCCGTGCTTGCCTCGCGCTGCCACGCCCATGCCTGCGACGTGTGCACTTCTGTCTGCAATCTCATACCCGTTTGCTGTTTGCGAAGTCTCAGGACTCGTGCTGCACGCTTTAGTGTTTCTGCTGTTTCTTGGTCTTGTTGCATGGACCTCTTTTTCTTCCCTTTCCCCCATTTAGCTTCTGCCTACACCTTTCTCTGTCCCTGCCCAACTGTCGAACGGGCCTTGTATTCATTATGGGGTGGTACAGGGTAGATGCAAACACATGCAACTCTCTTTCTCTACCTCTCTCTGCCTCCACCCGCTTCACCCTTCACGCTCCTCGTGCCCACCAACACCTTCGTCCTCGTGTGTGCGAATGTGTGCCTGTTGGCATGCGTGTTGTGTGTGCGTGTGTGCATGGCACGGCACAGGTGCGGCGCTCCATCCAGTACTTCCTCAACAACCTTACAGGGCCCAAGTTCGAGCGGGACGCCACCATCTCTGCCATTGGCGAGGTGAGCACTGCGCAGGGGGGCATGCAGTGAGGGGAGCGGAAGAGACAGAGGGGTAAAGAGAGTGGTGGAGAGAAACATGAAAGGAGAGGAGGGAGGAGGGACTGGTAAACGATAACATTTTTTCCACCAGGACCTAGTGTATGCTGGTGTTGCAAGCCGGGCATGTGGTCTCCTGCACGACTGGCACTCACGCCATGCATTGCATGACGTGTATCATCCAGACAGCCTCCGTGTCCCCTACTGGTGGCGCCATCAACCCTGCCCTTCCAAAACCCACCCATCTCCCTATCTCCATGTGCCCCGCCCCCCACCTTCCCCCCCATGGCAGGACCTGTTTGCGATCGCAGTGGACCAGCCGTTCCGCTTCCCCGCCACCTTCACCTTTGTGCTGCGCGCCTTCTCCACCCTCGAAGGTGCGTCGCTGCCTCGCACCCTGCTCCCTGCAGGGCGTGGATGTGCTTGGGAGAGGAGGGGAGGTGGTGGTGTGGCACGGGTGGCAGTTTATACAGGGACAGGGTGCTTAGATTATCCACTGAATGCACCTTCAGCAGTCTCACGCCGTCCCACGTCTTCCCGCATGCCTCTCCCCTCCCCTCTGCCCTTTGCGCGCACCTGTGGCAACGTGCAGGGGTGGGAGCGTACTTGGACCCCAACTTCTCCTTCGCTAGGATCGCTGCACCCTACGCCCAGGTAACAGCCACGCAGCGATGCAAGTCAGTACCTCTGTGAGCTGCCTGTGCAACTCTCTGCCCCTCGTCCTGCATGTCCGGTACTTCCTGCAAAGAAAGCGCCATCATGCTCTTTTTTTCTAGCGCGCATCCGCTGGGCCATCCACTCTGCCAACCTCTGTACTGTACCATCCACCATGCTACCCCGTGGCCGCTCTCTACACGCATGCAGGAGCTGTTGGACCTTCGGGATGCACAGAGAGGGCAGGACTACGTGGTGCAGCAACTCACCAAGCAGGCCACTGAGGTGTGTGTCAGACTCCACCCCTGTCACCATGCACGCACGCACACACGCACGCACGCACACATATGCTCACATACGCACATATGCTCACATATGCTCACATATGCTCACATATGCTGCAGACACATGCGCGCACGCATGCTGGTCCCAACACTCACTGCTGAACGATCTTCTTGCTCCTTCGGAGTTATCTGGTGGCACACATCACTCTCCTGCATGCAGAGACGGCATGCTTTCTCTGCATTCCGACTTGTCCCCTTGTGGTCTCACTCGTTCCCAATCCTGCTCCTATGTGTTCGCGTGTGTGCTGCTCTTGCCCACCCTTATGCCCATGCCATGCCATGCCTCTGGCCATGCTTCATACGCAATGGCAGGTGACGGACGCCACGGTATCGATGCCGATAAGAGTGCAGCGCATGGACGACCTGCTGCAGCAGATAGAGAACGGTGACCTCAAGCTGCGCGTGCGCGTGCTCGAGGTGAGATGTCAGGCCTGCTGCATGCTCAGTGGCACTGAGGAAGGGCGCGTGGACATGGCACCTTAGCGCGCTCGTCACTGTTGCTTCTAATCGGTTGGAACCTCTAAGCTGTGTTTCCCGGTGCCTGTTGCACACTTCCCCCTCTACCTCTCATTCCCCCCTCTACCTCGCTCCTCCTCTCTCTCCCCACTTTCGATTTCCCCTTTCGCTACCCCTTCTCCCTCCCCCACTCTCCCTCCCTTCTCTCTCCCTCCAGGCGGAGAGGGCGGCAAGGCGAGCAGGCATAATGCAGGTGGCGACGATAAACACGGTGGCGGCAGCAGCGCTGCTCAACATGGGTGTTTCCCTCACCACCGCTGCCATTGACGGCCCCGCCACCGCCTGCTTCTGCTTCGCAGGTCCCAACCAACCCAACACCTCTTGCTTCGCCCTCCGCTCTCTTGCATGCCCTTTTTTTGCTTCCTGCGGCAGTTTTTTTGTCCTGTTCTCAGAAAGGTGTGTTCTTAAGCCTTTGTGAGCATGGCTGTGTTTTTTTTTTACGTTGCAGCTTGTGCATGCTAGTATTGCAGTATGTGCATGCTTCTTGGTGGCAATTGTTAGTAACACTTTATGCCGGGGGTATGACATGGCAGGCGCGTTTGGCGTGGGAGCGCTGTGGAGCTTGAAGCGCATCCAGCGGCTAGACAAGTTTGAGAAGATGATTTGAGGAACCTGCCAGTAGTCCTGGGCACTGCAGGAGAATGTACATGCACGAGCTTTGCACAGCCCAGCCATGTGGGACGTATACGACATCCGTGCTTTATTTTTTAGTCAGTCAATGTATTGACTGCTCCAATGTCTCCTTGTCAATGGTCTCTGCTGGTACACATATGCCAGACAAGGTTTTTCTGAGTGTAGTCAAGTAGAACACCAGATCACCCCACCAGGTGTATGTACCGTACAAGATTTGCTCTAAACAAGCCACAACAAAACAAACAGCTCCAACTCCCATCACGCCCCTCTAATGCGTGCACGCACTGGCGTGCTTGGTTGCAACTGCAAGCACGCAAGTATGTACAGATGAGCCCAAAACCTCTCCACTTGCCGTACGTGCCAGCATCACTCTTCCACATGCACACGCCCTGCCAGAGCCCCCACGTCGTCAAAGTCACACGTCACTCGGTGCCTCTGGGTGTGCAGTGGTGAGGGGTGCACCGTGTGCTGGCTCCATGAGGGTGTGCCGTCCTCATATGGGTTGAACGTGAGGCACTCCCACTGCCGCACACTCAGCTGCTCCTCACCCGACTCTCCCTCCACTGCACTGCCACCACCACTGCTACTGCTGCCATTGCTGCCATTGCTGGAGGTATCAGCAGCACTGCCACCCCTGCGCTCATCAGCAGCAACAGTCTGCGGCGGGTGATTCGTACGATTCAACTGCAGCAGGAATAACTCGCCGTATGGCTGGAACTGCTGTGGGTATGCCACAGGGTCTGCAGACATGCCTGCAACGTCTGCGGTGACAACAAGGAAGTGCCCGTCAGGGCTGAAGGCAGCGTGGTTGACTCGCCCCCATGGCCCGTTGTGCCACAAACGCACCACCACCTGCTGATGATCTGCTGCCTGCTGCCGCTGCTTCTCCTGCTCCACCTGCCCAGCTGATTGGGTGCGACCGACACCAAGGGTCTCGCTGACTCTTGCACCACCACCACTGCTGCCAGAGGCAGCATTGGCATCAACAGCAGCAGCAACAGCAGCAGCAGCAGCACGAGTTGCAGCGGCGCTTGTAGGCAGCACGGCAGGCATGGCATAGAGTGCAAAGCCCTCGCCCTCACCGCGATCAGAGCTGAACACGATCCACCTGCCCCAAGGGTCCCATGCGGGCATGGTGTCCGTCCACGGCCCGTCGCTCACCTGCCACACACCGCCCCGCTCGCCGTGCTGAGCAGCCATGAGGAAGAGGTTCTTGTGGCCCGTGCGCGCTGATCGGAACAATATCCACCGCCCACATGGGGACGGCGCTGGGAAGGCGTTGTTGCGCGTGCCGGGGAGAGTGAGGCGCCGCCACGCCACACCGTTCACTCTGCCCCGACCAGTTCTGCTGCTGCTGCTGCTGCTGCTGCTGCTGCTGCTGCCGCCACCGCCACTGTCCTCCTCTTCTCTCTCACCCTCAGCCCCCCCTCCCGCCCCTCCCTCCGCCTTCCCCTCCCCCTTTCGCCCCTCTTGGAACAGCCATGCGCCCACCCCTGACACCTCCACCACATGCACCTCTGCTTCCCCAGGCGCAAACCCCTGCCCCGCACTCGTGTACAGCACCCCGGGCACCATGGGGTTCCACGCCAGCCCAAACGCGGGGCCCTGAAACACCTGCCGCTGTGCCGCACTGCCGTCTGCCGGCACCACATACACCCCGGCACTGGGGCCGCTGAGAGCACGGATGAAGGCGAGGAGACGGCCGTCTGGGGAGAGAGCGGGGAAGAGGCCAGCGGTGCGGATGAGGGTGAAGGGCGTGGAGGGCGGTAAGGGCGTGGCGATGGGCTCCACGTAGTACCCGTGGCAGTCCGTGCAGTCCGTGTGTGCGCGCTGAGGGGATACGGGTTGTGAGAGTGTGAGAGGGGGTTGGGCTAACAGTGCTCGGTGCGCCTCCTGGTTGTGCGCCTCTACTGTTTCTTCTTTGCTGCCTGCCCCCTTGCGGCCCTCTGCAACTGGTGCACCGTCTTCCGTTAAACCTTCCTCATCTCCACCGTCCGCGTCGGCGCACCGGCAACGGTGGTACGCAACTCGCGATCCGTCCGGCGCCACTGACGGCGTGTAGTGATTGGCGTCCGGGCGGAAGTGCTGAGTCAGCATGTACAGCTGGCGCGAGGGCAGGTGAAGCAGCTCCACGTGGCGGAAGGGCGAGGAGGGGCGGCGGGTGGTGAGGGCAATGAAGGGGCCGCATGGGGAGGCGGCAGCAGAGGAGGGCGTGAAGGCATGTAGCCCAGGCGGTGTGAGGCGCTCCTCCCTGCCCACCCCAATGCTCCCCTCTCCAACCCCTGCACTCGCCCCTGCACTAGCGCCAACATCTGTTTCTGCCTTGGTAGCTGCGCTGCTGAAGGCAGCCTCCTCACCATCCGCCCTCTGCTGCAACCCCCCCTGGTTCTCTCCAGGCAGGTCCAGCTGCACCTGGAACACACCGAACCACCCCTCACCGCCCTCCTCCTGCTGCGCCCCCTCAGCAGCATCATGCCCCGCGTGCCCTCCCGCATGCACGAGGCGGTGGAAGAGGAGAGTCGAGTCGTCCTCGCCCCACGCCGGCCACCCTCCCTGCGCTACCACCTGCTGCCGATGCTTGCCGTCCGGCAGGCGCATCACGTGGATGGCAGTGGGCAGCGCTAGCAGGTCCCTCTGCTGCATGTTTAGCGGGACCTGAGTGCCACCCGTGTCCATGTCAGCAGCAGCGCTGGCACGAGTGCGGTGAGAGGAGTAGTGGGCGGGAGCAGAGGCGACAGCGAGCCAGCGCCCCGAGGGAGAGACGCTGGGGGAGAAGTCAGCGAGATGAGGGGGTGTCACACAGTGCTGGGGGGGAACAGGAAGGGAGAGGGCGGGAGTAGGAGGGGAGAAAGAATGAGCAAGCTAAATGGTTGTATACTCAGAGCAGTGTATGAAGGGAACTAGAGAGCATTGTGACTGCAGCAACAACAGACCCTACAAACACTTTGCTGTGGGGGAAAAAATTAACACAGCGAATGCGAATCTTAGCTGTAGTGGTGCCGTTGCCCCCCATGTGTTGCACGTGCACTGTGCTCCAGCTCAACCGCGCCGCTCCTCCCTCTGCTTGCCCGCCTGCCCATGCGCCTGCCGTGCCCCCCTGTGCTGCAGGGTGGCCAGGCTGTGTGCGTGCGAAGACGAGGTAGGGGCCAGCAGCAGCAGCGACCATGGCAGGGCGGTCATGCCATGCCACGCCCTGCGTCAACTGCACCGCCTCACACCCCTCCTCGCTGTGCGCGCTGCCCTGACCCTCCTCTCCCCCCTGCATCCCTTCTCCCCCCTGCCTCTGCTTCCCGCGCCTGCCCTGGCATGCGCGCAGCACAGAGCCCTTACCCCCCTCCCCTCCATCACCGTAATCCCCCGCTAGCATCCGCCGCTTCTCTGTCTCTTGAGCATCCCCCTGCCGCTCCGCTTCCACTGCCAGTCTCCCCCACTGTGCCTGCATCGCCTGCACCCCCTCGTGCAGCCCCGCACCATCCTCCCCTTCCGCCACTGCACTGCCCGCCGCACCGCCCTTCGTCTCTTCCATTCTTTCTCCACCCGACACCTTCGCAACAACCTCCTCCCCCGCGCCTTTTTCCCCCAACCCTTGCGCCACTTCGCAGAACATCACGTTCCCCGCCCCGGCCTCCGCCTCTGACACGAACACCAGCCCCAACTCGCCCCCACGCCCCTCCGCGCCAACTCCCCCCGTGATCTTCCAACCCCGCCCTCCGCCGTCGCGTTTGCTCCGCACGCCCACTGTGAATTGCGCGCTGTGGCTGGCGCTGCCACCCGTCGCCGTGTGCCGCTGCTCGCTTATCGTCCCTCGCCCCGCCGTCTTCCCCCCACCGCTCCCGCTTCCCGCCCGCGCTTCGTCTCCGCCCTCTGCCAGCCCCTGCCGATTACCACTACTATAGTCGCTCTTGCCTCTTGCGGGACAACCCACACCTGTCGCGTTGCCCGCACCACCTGCTGTATTCTCTGCGCTCTCTGCGCCACCGGCGGCAGCGCGAGTGTGGGCGGGCCAAGATGGGGACTGTGCAGGCGGGTGGCGGAAGAAGTGGGGCGGCAGCGTGGCGGAGTAAACATCGAAGGCGTACTGCGTGCGACCCACCACGGCGAACAGCACGCTCCCGCTCGGCCGCATTCGCGCCATCGCCGGGGACTCGTCCGACGGATCACCGGATTCGTTGCTGTGAGATTGCAACGCCTTTCGTGCTACACTCGAAGTCTCTTCGTCTCGCAGAGATGGGTCTCCGCCTTCCGTCGTTGAGAAAGAAGCAACAGCAGACATGCGAGTCGGGGGAAACTGAAGCAGCAGCAGCAGCACCAGTGCAGCGAACAAGGAGAGAGGAGGGAACATGGTGGAGTAAGGGAAACATGATGCTCCTGGACACGAGAATGCGATGGAATATGCAATTTGAAAATGTGTTCTCCTGCTGCGCCAAATTGGGGCGGGGAACAATGAAAAGCACGTGTCGTCCATGCGAAGAGGTGTACACGACAGATTTGTGCCTCCATAACGGTCTAACAGCTTAAAATATATATACCTTACCGTAACTTCAGCTGACCTATAATATTTGCCAGCAAAACAAAGGCACGGTACTAACAGATAAAGAAAACATTCACATGCTACAAGATTCATACAGCAGAATGCACTTTTCAGCCAATAGCCACCTCGAATAAGCATAACATGTCCGCAATGCCTCTGGTTGCCATACACACCCACCCTACTCCTCCACAAGCCCCACCTCACCCACTAGTACCGGTAGCTGTTAGTTGACAAATGCGAAGCAACCATTAGGGAATGTCATTTGAGAACTCTGCGGTATTCAGTAGACACCAGAAGAATGCATTTACATCCGTTTCGATCTATACAGGATAATGCACTCGTCCAGAAGCCCCTTAGCTTGCCCAACAGCCAACTGGAACAAGGATGACATGTCTGCAGGCGTCGTTGGTTGCCATCTACGCCCACACTTCGCACACCAGGTATCGGACCCGTACAAGTAGACAAGGCAATGGAAGCTGTGGCATGAAGGGCAAAACAAAGTGCCTCCCACGGGTAGTGTGATGGGAAGCACGAGTGGGACTGGGTCATCATTCTTAAGACAGGCTAGGAGACAAGTGTCGAGAGTAATGTTTGAGTAAGCAGGGACAAGGAGATACAAATGTCGACCTAAAGTGTTGTACCCTTTAGAGGGCAACTCACAGTAGCCTATATAACAATATATAGAATATATAAACATTTGACACACCCCCATAGGCTAAGTGAGGGGCATCAAAACAACCAACGGAAACAAGGGGTCACAAGACCAGTCAAGAACAAGCATAAAAAAAAAAACAAAGCTCAGGGTGGCGCTCAGAGTCACCACACACTCCGAGCACAAGCAAGTGGCCACAAGGCCAGTTCAAGAGTTTACTAGTACATATAGAAGCACAACAAGTAGAGCAAACAGCAAGTCTACAGCAACCGAGGGCCTACCTCAACAAGCCCCAACTGCACACAGAACCTGTGGTGGTCACCAGGCGCCAAGGCCTTGGTGAAGACGTCGGCAGTGTTGGCCTGTGAGGCCACAAAGTCCAAACGTGCCTGACCGCGTCGCTGCAACTCTCGCAGGAGGAAGTACCTCACGTCAATATGCTTCACTCTGCTCTCCAGTCGAGGCTCTCGACACAGGAGGATCATGGCCTTGTTGTCAGCGTACAAGGTCGGTGCAGAGCGAGGCCGCTCACCAAGGTCGGCGAGCAAGAAGGTCAACCAGCGAAGCTCCTGTGCCGCCATGGCACCAGCGTAGATCTCTGCCTCTGCACTGGAAGTAGCCACAGACGACGACCGTGTAGACCTCCACGACACAACACCAGCTCCCAGACTGAAGCAGTAACCCTGAGTCGAACGCTGAGTCTCCACGTCGTCAGCGTAGGAAGAGTCGCAGTGACCAGTCAACGCCACTGGCTGAGTCCCTCCAAGCACAAGCCCCATGCCTGATGTAGTCGCCAGGTACTTCGCCACCCTCACAGTAGCTGTCCAGTGGACAGGGCGGTGTCTCCCAGTCGCAACAAAGCGAGAAAGGATGCTGAGTGGAAAGGCGAGGTCCGGTCGAGTACAAGTCATCAGGTACATGAGGCAGCCCACCAGCTCTGCGTAGGGTCCACTGGACTCAAAGGGCTCGTCAGGAAAGGGGCCCGTGAGTCTGTGGTCAACAGCAAGAGGAGTGGGCTGTGTGGTGGAGAACTGGAAGTCGAACCGCCGAAGGATCTGCTGCACCATGTGTGACTGCGTCAGTGTGATGGTGCGAGCGGCTCTGTCCCGGGTGATCTGCAGGCCAAGGTAGCGCTACAGCTCACCCAGGTCAGTGCACTTGTGTCTCTTCTGCAGTTCGGACTTCACCTGAGCCAGGGCTGCCCTGTCTGCTGTAGCAAACACCAAGTCGTCGACATAGACAAGGATAAAGAAAGGAGTAGAACCCGCTCGAACAAACAGCGACGGGTCGGCGGAGGACGGGCTGAACCCAAGGTCACGAAGCGTGGAGCGAAGAGTGTCGTGCCACTCACGGGGCGACTGGCGGAGACCGTAGACTGGTCGCCTCAGGCTCCACTGGGTCCCAGGTGGGAAGGTGTCAGTGAAGCCAGGAGGACGGCGCAGCCAGATCTCCTCGTGTAGTCGGCCCTGGAGGAACGCAGTGGAGAAGTCGAGGGAGTGCAGCTCGTAGTCTCGCTGCGCTGCTATGTGGAGTAACACCCGAAGAGTAGTCATCTTCGGGGTCGGGGCGAAGGTCTGGAAGAAGTCAACTCCCTCACGCTGACTGAAGCCCCTAGCCACGTAGCGCGCCTTGAATACCGGCGGTGCTCCAGGCGGCCGCTTCACCTTGAAGAGCCACATGCCATCGACTACGTTCGCCCTGGGAGGGGGAACTGCGTCGACGTAGGTGCCTGTGGATCTCCAAGACGCCAACTCTGAGTCCATAGCCGCTTTCCACTGAGAGGCCCACGCCCCTGACACTGCCTCGCGGTAAGTGCGAGGAGTCGGTATGTCAAGGGCGTCGGGGTCTCCCTCAGGGGAGAGCAGCATGGCACACACAGAGGGAGAAGCGGCTGCCCAGTACTCCAGCTCAGACTCTCTGTCCTCTAGGACGTCACAGCCAAGGGCAAACCCACCCCCGACGGACAGAGGACGGTAGGGAGGAGCTGGCACCACACGGGTGGCGTAGTCAAGGTGGCTGGCGGCAGCAAACTCAGCGACAGCGGCAGTAAGAGCCGAGGCAGACGACGGAGGGAAACGAGAGTCGGTGACAAGAGTGGCGAGGACACGTGCGGCAACAGGACGAACAACGCGGTAGTAGTCAGAGATAGGAGTGGGGAGGGCTGGTAGGGAGGACGGAGGAGGAGACGGGAGAACGGACACAGGAGAAGGAGAACGACGACGAGACGAACAAAGGAGGGCAGTGTGGAGGTCAGTAACAGGGGACGAGTGACGAGCACGCGGAGGACAACGAGTGATCAGGTCGCGACGGACAGAGGGAGGAGGAGAAGACCAGACCGCCGGACGGTCGTCAGGAGGAGGCAACGGAGGAACAAACACAGGAGGAGACTGGGAGCGGACAGGAGGAGAGGAGGAAAGGCCAAGGGCCCGCAGGCCACTCACAGGTGGGAACAACCGCCGCTCCAGAGGAAGCTGCGGTGGCGGCTGCGGCCGCTGCTGCTGCGGCTGCGGCTGCTGCTGCTGCGGCTGCGGCGGCGGCTGCGGCTGCTGCTGCTGCTGCTGCTGCTGCTGCCGCTGCTGCTCCAGAAGGTCCAGCACCCGCAGCTCCTGCCGCTCCCTCTCCAACCGCTCCTGCTCCTCACGCTCACGCCGACGGGCAGCCTGGAGACGCGTGTCGTGGCGGTGGGGAGGCGGAGTGGACTCCGCAGAACCAGGGTCTCCAGCGTCAGTCCCCTCAGACTCAGCACCCCCAGAACCAGCACCGCCAGTGCCAGGACCTCCAACTCCAGCACCCCCAGAACTAGCACCGCCAGTGCCAGCACCCCCAACTCCAGCACCCCCAGAACCAGCACCTCCAGTGCCGGCACCTCCTGCTCCAGCACCCCCAGAGCTAGCGCCACCTGCGCCAGCACCTCCAGCTCCAGCACCCCCAGAGCTAGCGTCACGTGCGCCAGCACCTCCAGCTCCAGTACCCCGCGACCGAGCACCCCCAGACCGAGCACCGCCAGCGGCTGCACCTCCAGCTCCAACACCAACCGAGTCCAAAGTAACCTGTCGCGGAAGTGCCGAAGGCTGCTGAGGGGACTGTGAGGAGGACTGCGGGGAGGGAGACGCTACCTGACGCGCGACCGAGGGTAGAGGGGTAGCGTGGGACACACCAGACGGGGCAGGACCTGGGGGGGGGCGGGGGTACCGGAGGAGCGGGAGCAGGAGGAGGAGAGGGTGCGAGGAAGAGAGGGGGAGGGGGTACCGGGAGACCTCGACAGGGGTACCGGGTGTAGTAGGACACGGACTCGTCAAACCGGACGTCACGGGAGTCTAGGAACTGGTGGAGGGGAGGGTGGTAAAAGGACCAGTCAGCAGAGTCCACTGGGAAACCAAGGAAGACACATGGGACGGCGCGTGCCGAGAGCTTGTCCGCGGAGGTGTCGCGAACAAGTGCAAGGCAGCCCCAGACTCGAAAGGCCGACCCAACACCAGGGGATCCAGTCCAAAGACTGGTCGGTGAAGCCTCGGGCCGCGAGACATGCGGCTGGAGGTTCAGCTGGTGTGCGGCGTAGCGAACCGCGTGGGGCCACAGAAAATGGGGCGCACGGGCATGAATCATGGACGTGCGGGCGATGTCCATGACCAAGCCTATGCGGCGCTCAGCAACCCCATTCTGCTGTGGGGACTCTGGCAGCGTCCAGGACTGGGTGATGCCCTGTTCGCCGCAGAATCCGCCGAGAATGCCGGAGCGAAACTCGCCCCCACGGTCGGAGTGAAGACAACTGACTCGACGACCACGAGTGCCCTCAGTGGCTAGAAGCCACCTGATCAGCGTAGCAGTCACCTCGGATTTCTTCGCAAGAGGGAACACTGTGGTGTACCTGGAGAAGTCGTCGACGACCACCAGACCCCTGCGTCGGGGCAGGGCCCCAGACGTCCAAGTGGAGAGTCTCGAAGGGAGCGGTGGCCGGACGAAGGGAGGAGGAGTGGGGAGTGGCGCGTAAGCGACCGGCGACGCACGGAGAGCAAGGAGGGGCAAGCGAGAGAGGGAGCGACGGGAAGGTGCGTGGGAGACCTGTGACTAGTCCCTGACTGAGCATGCCACGAAGGCGAGGGATCGACGGGTGGCCAAGACGGTGGTGCCACAGGACGGTGCGGTGGGCGAGAGAGCGACAGGAGCAAGACGCAGCGACTGGACTGGACACAGCGACCGGACTGGACACGACTACCTGGCTAGACACAGCAACTGGACTGGGGACCTGAGCCGGAGGGGACGCAACAACCTGAGGGGAGGACGCGACCGGGGAGCGCTCGGTGTGGAGAACGTAGAGACCGGAGCGGGGCTCCCTGGTGAACGTGGCCAGAACAGCACCTGTGGTAGCGTCAGTACAGACTGGAGTCCGCCCCCCCCCCCACAAAGGTAACGGTGATCCCCCTGTCCTGGAGGTATCCAACACCCACCAAGTTCCGAGTGAACGAGGGGATGTGGAGGCCGCGCAAGACACCAGAGGGGACCACAGGGCACGGGAGGGTGGTGGAGTTGCGCGCAACGGCTGGTCCTGAAGAAGGATCAGCCAAAGCTACCGGAACCGGAGCAAGAAGTGGTGTGAGGGTCGTGTGGTCGCGGAAGAAACACTGCGACGCGCCAGAGTCCAGCGTGAACGACAGAGACGCCTCAGCCGGAGGCGTGTCAGGTCCGGAGGCTACACAAGCACCTAGAGCAGAAACACAAGCACCTAGACTAGAGAGGCACAGGTCTACACTAACAGGAGGCAAGCATCCTAGACTACGAACACGCGAGCACACAAATCCATCAGCACTATAGTCAACATCAGCATACAAAGCATACTGACGAGCATCGTCCATAGACAGTTCAAATACAGGAATCTTACGGGCTAGCAGGCGAGCCCAGCGCGGGGTGGTCGCCTCAGGACCCCAGCGTGCACGGTAGAGGTCGTCGAGGCGGCGGAAGCACCGCGCTGCAGAGTGGTCGTCGCGGCCGCAGACACAGGGACTGCCAGGTCCGGTGACGCACCAGTGGTCGCAGGGGCCGGTGTCGCGCCGCGGGGGGCGAGGGGCCCAGCTGGTAGTGCTGCTGCTGCGGCCAGTGCTCCCGGGTCCTCCAGGTCCCCACTGTAGCGGAGGGCCCTAGTGCTGCTGCGGACCCCACTGCAGTGGGGGTCCCCACGTCTGAAACTGCTGTGGTGCCTGCCACTGCTGCTGTCCCTGGTGCAGCTGCTGTCTCTGCTGTGGCTGCTGCTGCTGTGGCTGCTGCTGCTGGGGCCCCGCACCACCGCTGGTCGAACCTCCTCCAGCAGGTGGGTCAGCACCTCCTCCAGAGCTCCCTCCGCCTGGGGCAACACCGCCACCACTGCCGCCCCCAGGGCCGCCTCCACCACCGCCACCTCCTCCACCGCCGCCACCCCCCTTCCCCCCTTTCTTGCCCCCCTTGCCCCGTTTCTGCCTGTCAGCGGCAGAAACAGCTGCAGTGTCCTCAGAAACCGACACAGCAGCAGAGGCACGTGTAGCAGTGAAGGTAGGAAGCTGGGGGACAGCACACCCCTCAAACAAACGAGGGGCAACTGCGTCAGTGGCTGAGGCAACAGAGAGGAGGTTACTCTCGATCTTCCCGAGAGTGGTCTCGAGAAGATCAATCGTAAGCTCACTGGGGTGATGCTGGAGAAGTGCGTCACGGGCAGTGGAGAGGCGGTCAGGGAGACGAGTGACTACCCAGTGGACTGTGAGCCAAATAGGAGGAGGAGCAACAAGAAGCTGAGCCTCAGTGCAAGCTGCTCGGTAGCTAGCGACAAGGGAGCGCAAGTGTGTGGCTAGGTCAGAGACAGTCGCAAAAGAGCCGAGGTCGGGAAACACGAACGGCATGAGGATGCGGCTGAGGGAGGCAGAGGAAGGGGTGGAATAGCGTGCAGAAATAGCATCATACACCTCCTTCGCAGTCTCTACCAGGTCGAAGTGAGCGGCCTCAGTCGGTGGAAGGAGCTCGGTCAGCGCGAGTGCAGCCGCAGCGTCACGGGAGTCCCAAACGTCCCGCGCCAAGACGAGACGAGCGTAGTCCGCCTGTGCCTCCGGAGTCGGGGGGGGCACGACAGGGAGGGGCTCGGGACGCGGTGGTGCCTGGAGGGCGCCGGACGCGTGGGCGTACAGGGTGGCGCCGTCCTGGCGCTGACTGGTGAGATAGCGCTGAGTCTGGCGGAGCCAGGTGCCGAACTCTATCGGGCGCCCCTCTGCATCGAAACGAAGGCGGCGGGAGGAGTCCATATTGGACGCTAGGCTAGGAACAGCTGGAGCACGGAGCAAACGGAGCTAGGAGCGAGGAGCGCCAGGTGGGACTAGGCGAGGTACTGCTGGAGCACGGAGGAAAACTGAGCTAGGAACGCCAGTCTAGTAACGAACGGAGCTGGGAGTTAGCTGACCTAGGAGCACACGGCTGGAGGAGGCAGGGCTGACGAGCCGATCGAGGAGCCAGAGGGTCGTTCGAGGGGCTGGCGGAGCGAGGAGAGACCTAGCTAACAACGAACGTCAGGACTAGCCTAAACAGCTAAGCGGAGCGGCCTCCAGCCGCGACGGTGCGAAACACTGTGAGTATGAGTGACGCGAGTGTCGAACCAACAGAGGTCGGGTGGTCCTGGGTGGTGTGCGCGCGTGATAAGGGGATGTGAGCGTTTGGAAGGGGCTCTGAGCGGTTGGAAGGGGCTGTGAGCGGTTGGAAGGGGCTGTGAGCGGTTGGAACGGGCTGTGAGCGGTTGGAAGGGGCTGTGAGCGGTTGGAAGGGGCTGTGAGCGGTTGAAAGGGGCTGTGGGCGGGTGGGAGGGGCTAGCTGGCGCCAGCTGCTGGCGGCTAGGTTCCGGTGGCTAGCTGCTGCTGGCGGCTAGCTTCTGCCTAGCCGTGCTGCTGCTGCAGGAGCACGCGCTGCTGCCTAGCCGTGCTGCTGCTGCAATGCACACGTTGCTGCCTAGCCGTGCTGCTGCTGCAATGCACGCGCTGCTGCCTAGCCGTGCTGCTGCTGCAATGCACGCGCTGCTGCCTAGCCGTGCTGCTGCAGCAAAGCACGCGCTGTTGCTGCAATGCGCGTGCTGCAGTGGCGTGCGCGGCTGCCGCTGGCTAACGCGCGCGCTGCTGCGGGCTAAGAACGACTACGCGGGCCCGCGGGGGGGGGGGGGGAGAGTCCCTTCTGGAGCGCGACGAAACGAGGGGCCAGCGGGGCCCTGTAAACGCGACGAAAAACGAGGCCCGCGGGGGCCCTTAAACGCGACGAAAACGAGGCCCGCGGGGGCCCTTAAACGCGACGAAAACGAGGCCCGCGGGGGCCGTCCTACCCGCGACGAAACGGGGCCTAAGGGACGGGCGCCTCGGGACCGGCTAAGGGAGGGAGCGGAAGCGTGGGAGGGAGTAAAAAACCTACTCTAATACCATCTTAAGATAGGCTAGGAGACAAGTGTCGAGAGTAATGTTTGAGTAAGCAGGGACAAGGAGATACAAATGTCGACCTAAAGTGTTGTACCCTTTAGAGGGCAACTCACAGTAGCCTATCTAACAATATATAGAATATATAAACATTTGACAATCATACATGGCACGGATCTTGGTGTAAAGGTCGAGTCGACGAGTGCACATGTCCGGCTGGACTTCTTTCTTTTGAAATTCAGCAATTAAATCCCTGCAACAAGAAAACAAACAGACGTAAAAGGGCGCATGATGCTTAAGCGGTTCAAAAGGTTCAAAACAGGCAACAGTACCAGAGGCGCACGTGTTTGCAACTGCATCCATCCAAAAACAGGTCGTGGCAGCATGTGGAGCACCACATGGCATTATGGCGAAGGTTTAGGCGAATATAAGTGGTTGCATCCCTTTCGAACAGCAGCGGATCTTGGAACCCTGGTGGCACAGGAACAGCCGGCAATGGCTGCAGTTGCTGCACGAGCAGTGTAGCCGAGACGAAGGTAAGGGAAGTGCAGCTGGAGGCAGCAGCAGCATCGTTAGACAAAATGTTTCCGCCATTGTCGGATCCATCTTCACTGGAGAGTGCCACAGAAGTGTCCATTTCAACCTTGAGAAAGTCCAGAGTAGACCGAAGGGAAGCCAGGTCATCTCTACTAAGTTTTGGGTGATCCTGTGCTCGCACAGCCATGTAAAAAGCGGTCACACAGGCACATGCGAACAAGTTCTGTTAACGTGCTCAAAACAAGTGGCAGCACTTCCATGGCAGACTGCACGGTACCTGGAGTTGCTTGTACGCCAAAAGAAGCAAGACTCGCGAAAAGTCTTTAGCATCCACGGATGTCAGCTCAAAAATATCGACCGATATGTTCCCGCGCTCTTCATCGCTCTCCTTTGGCGCAACTCCCTCCGCGTCATCCACGCGGGTGCGGGGAGCAGCGGCGGACCAGCGGTCGCTGAGCAGCGAGGCGAGGAAGGGCGAGTGGCGCGAGAGCAGCGACGCGTTGCAGAGGAACTGCGTCCTCTCAGGACCCACCAGCAGCGACACCACTCGCTCGCCGCCCCCTCTCACCGCGCCAAGCCGTCCATGACCGGCGTCAGATACTGACGACCCGACTGTATCCATGGTTGAAGCGCGTCACGAGGGGTTACACAGATGACTGACAAGCGCAGACACGGCTACAATGTGTACGAATAAGAGAACTGAGGAAATAAGCGAAGCAACGGCCAGACGAACCGGTGCGATGGTTCCCATCGCCGCGCCGCCTTGATTGAGGAGAAAGGCGTATGGGCGGTGTCATGATTCTGGTGGCGACCCTTGCTGCTGACTTCACATCAATGCTTTGGTGATGGGACGGAATTTTGTGAAGCTTATTGGGAAGTTCGACAGGATTATAGTATTCTGCGCGGAATTCTTCAGAACATGCATCAAACACAACATGAGATTTTTTTTCATATGAAAAATTTACAGATTGTGATTCGATTGAAAGAGGTGTGTGCTTAGGAGACAAGCTGCTCCTTCTTTCTGCAGGTCTTGGAGACCTGCCACCTAGTCCCATTTGCAATTTCCAACTCTCTTGCTCCCACCCTCCCACTCCCTTTTCGATTTCATCCATAGCGCAACCTGATTGCCTCAACACATTATTTTGTATTTATATATATTGAGTGTGCTGTATTCATGAGATTTGAAATGCTATGACGACTGCACTGCACTGCACACTCCTCTGAAAGTCGTGTCACAATCTAGAAAACGCTGATAAGAGTTGATGTCCACCACTCCAAAACAAAAGCATGCCAGTATGCAGCTGTGATATCACAATCAAAAGCGCCTTTTTTGTTGTTCAGCAACAAAAGGCATGAATGTTTGTAGTTATCACTTGGCTATCTAAGATATCTGAGAGACAGACCCGACCATATACCGTAACATGCGCCCAACAAAACATTTTGCTAGGCAGCATGCTTTTAGAGACTAGCTGTACAAACGAATGCACTCCTCCAAAAGCTCCTTGGCTTGCTATACAGCCAAGTGGAAAAGGAAGGCCATGCCTGGAACGGTTCGCGGAACCCACTTCCACCCACAGTCCGCATACCAGGCCGAAGACTGGAAGAGGTAAACCAAAACACGAAGGCTCTTGCACTGTGGGTGTGGGCAATGCATGCCCCCTGTAGGCAGGGTAACAGGAATAACAATTGACGGAATGGTAAGCCCCTGGCGTATCTGCACCAAGCCTGACCTCCGGTCGTCGTACATGGCACGCAGCTTGGTGTACAGGCACAGGCGCTTGGTGCAGAGTTTTGGCTGTGTCAAATTATGTATATGCTATATATGTTTAGGCTGTAGTGGGGTAGCCAATATGGGGTACAGCCCCTGTTAGGGTTTCATAGTTGTACCCAACACTTTCCTAGTTGATTCATTCCTGCCTAGCATTTCAGACATGGTATTAGAGCAGTAGGTCCGTAGGACCGTCGTAGTTCGGGCCCACCTACCGTTGCGGTTACCACGCTGCCCCACCTGCCTTGCCTGCCTTGCCTGCGCTGCGCCTCAAGCGCGTGCCCTGCCTTGCCTGCGCTGCGCTGCCCGCGCGCGCTGCCTTTTTTTTTCCGCGCGCGCCACTCTAGCAGCCCGCGCAGCTCGCTGCTGCCCCGCGCGCCGCGTCTGCCGCCCGCGCAGCTCGCTGCTGCCCCGCGCGACGCGTCTGCCGCCGGCGCAGCCCGCTGCTGCCCCGCGCGTCGCGTCCGCCGCCCGCGCAGCCCGCTGCTGCCCCGCGCGTCGCGTCCGCCGCCCGCGCGCAGCCCGCTGCTGCCCCGCGCGTCGCCTCCGCCGTCGCGCAGCCCGCAGCTGCTCCGCGCGCAGCCTTAGGAGCCAGCGCGCGGCCCACTGCTGCACCGCGCGCCGCCTTAGGAGCTCGCGCGCGGCTCGCTGCTGCCCCGCGCGCCGCCTTAGGGGCCAGCGCGCGGCCCGCTACTGCCCCGCGCGCCGCCTTAGGAGCCTGCGCGCGGCCTGCTGCTGTGCCGTGCGCCGCCCTAGCCACTTGTGCGCCGCCACTGCAGTCTTTCACGCAGTTTCTCTTGGCCTGCACTCTGCCTTGCCGCCTGCGCGCTACTCTTGCCTGCACTGCAATCATGGCGACGCTTAACGTTCTTGCTTTCGATCCTGACGGTCGCCCGATAGAGTTTACCACCTGGCTCGACGACCTGCAACTGTTTCTTCTGACTGATGCCAAGGACGGTGTTTCACTGTTCGATTACGCGTCCGGCATTGCCGTTGCTCCTGCTGACACTGCTCCTGCTCTCGACCGCTCACAGTGGCAGACCCGCGATGCTGCTGCGCGCCTCGCTATTCGCAACCATCTGCCGATCACAGAGCGCGCGCATTTTAGCCAGCACAAGACTGCCAAGGCACTGTACGACGCTGTAGTTGCCCGCTACTCTTCCCCGGCCACTGCAGCCCTAGGTCGCCTTATGCTACCCTACCTGTTCCCCGATCTGTCCTCGTTCACCACTGCTGAGGACCTCATCTCTCACTTGCGCACTAGCGACGCTCAATCTTGTACTACCCTCTCAGACGAGTTCCTCGCCCAGAATCAACCCCCGATGTACTTTACTCTCTACTTCCTAGTCACCCGCCTCCCTGACACTCTTCGTTCCGTCAGGGACCACTTTCTCGCGCTAGACCCTACCGCTCTCACTGTCGACGACTTCGAGAAGCACCTCCTAGCAGCAGAAAAGAACATTCTCGCTGTAGGTGCTGCTCGTGGCACTCCTCGCACTCCCCTCTTTGAGGGGTGCTCCCCCTCCCCTCTTGCCCCCTCCTACGCCTCCGCTGCAGCTGCTCTCGACTACCTTGGTGCTGAGGAGGTCGGGGCTGCTTCCGCTCCTAGTGGGAAGCGCCGCAGTGCCAGGGGCGGCAAGGGTGGCAGGGGGGGTGGGGGTGGCGGTGGAGGGGGCGGTGGTGGAGGCGGCGGGGGAGGTGGAGGTGGTGGGGGTGGTCGTGGGGGTGGAGGTGGTGGTGGGGGCGGCGGTGGCACTGGGAGCGGTGGGGGTGGCAGCGGCGGTAGTGGGGGAGGAGGGAGTGGTGGTGGCAGCGGCGGTGCGGGCTGGAGTGGATCCGGCCGGAAGGGAAGCTCCACTGGTGGCCAGGGACAGCAGCAGCAGCAACAGCCGCCACAGCAGCAGCAGCAGCAGCGTCAGCAGCAGACCCCCTCCCCTCAGCAGCTTCATGACTGGTATGCTCAGCGTGGAGCGTCTGGGGGTCCTGTTCGCTGCCCCTATATCATTCGCACAGGCCCCCGCACTGGTCGCCCATGCAACGGTTCTCACACTGAGTATCGCTGCTTCTCTAGGCTTAGCGATGCATGGCGCGCCAAGTTTCCCGAGGCTACTGAGCTTCCCCACTGGGCAGACCTGTCTAGGCGTGGTGTTCCTATCTTTGATCTTGACTATGATGCAATTCTTGCTGCCATGTATGCATTGACTGTTAGTGCTGAGGGTGACTGCTACTTGTGTATGCCGCCTGACCCAGGTATAGAGTCTGCAGCACTAGGTGCTAGCGAGTCTGCTCTCCCTGGTACTGCGTCCGCTCAGGCTTTGCACACCTTTACACTTGACTCTGGTGCTTCCCGCTGTTTCTTTCGCGATAGCACCACAGTCACTCCCCTCCCTGCACCTGTCCCTGTCTCACTGGCTGACCCCTCTGGGGGCCCAGTGCTAGCACGGACCTCTACTGTGCTTCCGTGTCCGGCGGTCCCGTCTGGTGAGCTGTCTGGTCTCCACCTCCCCTCGTTCTCTACGAACCTGGTGAGCACCGCCGTCCTTCAGGATCACTGGGTTGACACCTTTACTCCTGGAAGACAGCGTGTGGCGATCTGCACGTGCTCTCGGACCGGCCGCCACCTGGCCACGTTCACACGTGCGCCTGGGTCCAGTCTGTACACCCTCACCACTGCGTCGTGCTCCACCCCTTTGTCTCCTCAGCTGTACGCGTCCGCTCAGGTAGCTACCCGGTGTGAGTGTCGCAGCCTGTCCCACCAGACTCTCCTGTGGCACCACCGCCTTGGTCACCCCTCCCTGCCTCGCCTTCGTGGCATGCACTCTCGCCACCTGGTCTCTGGTCTTCCTAGGTCTCTGCCCTCCCTCCCTCCCTCGCCTGCGCCGCCCTGTATTCCTTGCGTCGAGGGGCGGCAGCGTGCCGCTCCTCACTCCTCCTCGTTCCCTCCTACAGAGGCTCCACTGCAGACTCTCCACCTGGACGCGTGGGGCCCAGCCCGCGTCCGTGGACAGGGCCACGAGCGGTACTTCCTACTGGTCGTCGACGACTACACGCGTTACACCACGGTCTTCCCCTTGCAGCGCAAGGGGGATGTCCCTGATATTTTGATCCCTTGGATCCGCGCTGTTCGTCTCCAGCTCCGCGAGCGGTTCCACTCGGACTTTCCTGTCCTGTGTCTGCACTCCGACAGAGGTGGTGAGTTTTCCTCCGACCTCTTGCGAGCCTACTGTGAGGAGCACGGCATCCGCCAGACGTTCACGCTTCCGGCCTCTCCGCAGCAGAATGGGGTTGCTGAGCGCCGCATTGGCTTAGTCATGGAGGTCGCTCGTACCTCCATGATCCATGCGGCTGCCCCCCATTTTCTGTGGCCGTTTGCGGTCCGGTACGCCGCGCATCAGCTCAACCTCTGGCCCCGTGTCTCCGTGCCGGAGACTTCGCCCATACTGCGTTGGACGGGGGAGGTTGGCGATGCGTTGCGTTTCCGGGTCTGGGGTGCTCGTGCCTTTGTCCGCGATACCACTGCGGACAAGCTCTCCCCTCGCGCCATTCCCTGCATCTTCCTTGGCTTTGTCCCTGACGCGCCTGGCTGGCAGTTTTACGACCCCGCCGCGCGCCGTGTCTTTGCGTCTCAGGACGTCACCTTTGACGAGTCGGTCCCCTTTTACCGTCTCTTTCCCTACCGCACTGCCTCTCTCCCCCCCCCGCCGCTCTTTCTCGCTCCAGGTCCTCCCCAGGTAGACCCCCTCCCCGCTCCAGGTCCTGCTCCTTCAGGAGTGTCTCAGGTAGACCCTCCTCCCTTGACTGAGCCGGTTGAGGTCACTGGTGACTCATGTCCTACTGGGGGTGGTCCTGCTCGGGGTGCTGCTTCTGGGGGTGCTGAGCCTGGGGGTGCGGAGCCTGGGGGTGCTGAGCCTGGGGGTGCGGAGCCTGGGGGTGCTGAGCCTGGGGGTGTGGAGCCTGGAGGTGCTGAGCCTGAGCGTGAGGAGCCTGGGGGTGCTGAGCCTGAGGGTGCTGCGCCTGGGGGTACTGAGTCTGGGGGTACTGCGCCTGGGGGCACTGAGGCGCCTGGTGTGCAGTCTCCTTGGAGCGGCCGTCTCCGTAGTCGCTCCGCTGGTGCCTCGCCGCAGCTCTCTCGTCGGCGTCTCCCTCTCTCCCCAGAGCAGCTGCGAGAGTGGTACGTCAGTCGTCAGGGTCGTGCTGCTGGAGCTGGGGGCCCTACTGCGGCCGGCGCTGGCGTTGGAGACACTGGAGCTGGTGACTTAGCTACTGGAGGCGTTTCTACTGGAGTTCCTGGAGCCGCTGGTCCCGGAGGTGCTTGTACTGGAGGTAGTGGAGCTGCTGGGGCTGGTGGTTCTGCTGAGTCTGGGGGTGCTGCTGCTGGTGGCGCTGGTACTGGGGGTACTGGCGCTGGAGGTTCTGGAGCTACTGGAGGTCCTGGAGCTGTTGGAGGTACTGGCGTTGGAGGCGCTGGAGCTGGAGGTTCTGGAGCTGTTGGAGGTGCTGGCGCTGGAGGCGCTGGAGCTGGAGGTTCTGGAGCTACTGGAGGTCCTGGAGCTGTTGGAGGTACTGGCGCTGGAGGCGCTGGAGCTGAAGGTTCTGGAGCTGTTGGAGGTGCTGGCGCTGGAGTCACTGGAGCTGGAGGTTCTGGAGCTGTTGGAGGTACTGGCGCTGGAGGCGCTGGAGCTGGAGGTTCTGGAGCTGTTGGAGGTGCTGGCGCTGGAGGTGGTGGCGCTGGAGGTTCTGGAGCTGCTGGAGGTCCTGGAGCTGTTGGAGGTGCTGGCGCTGGAGGCGATGGAGCTGGAGGTTCTGGAGCTACTGGAGGTGCTGGTACTGGAGGTGCTGGCGCTGGTGGTGCTGGACCTGCTGGTAGTGGTGGCGCTGCCCAGCCGCGACTGTTCTTCACTCCTCCGTCGCCTTCGTCTCTGCCACCGCCTGACTCCGTGCTTCGCCAGGTTCTTAGCCTCCCGTCTTCTATTGGTCTTCCGTTACAGACTGGCTCACCGCTGCCTGCTCCTTCTCCTTACACTGAGCAGACAGGAGGTCTTGCTGAGCGTCGTGAGCCTGCGTCTCGTCCTGTCTCGCCTGTCCGCACTGTCCGCACTGGTCGTACTGGTCGTCGTGTTCCTCGTGAGCGTCCGCCGGCTGTCCCCGGCACACACCTCATGGCCCTGCGTCCTTCCTCTGCTCCGCAGCGTGTTCCCCTGCCGTCCCCTCCTGCGTCTTCTCTGCCTGACGTTCCAGACCCTGAGTCTGACCACGCTCGTGCTGCTCACCCTACTGTCACGCGTCTGCTAGCCACTGTTGTCACTGACCCGTCGTTTGAGTCTGCTGCTGCGTCTGCCTTAGTCGCTGAGCTTGTTGACTTTGCTGCTGCCTGTCGTCTAGACTACGCCGCTAGTCTTGTTGCTGAGTCTGAGTCTGTCTGTCCTCCGTCCGTCGGGGGTGAGTGTGCTCCTAGCACGGACGTCCTTGAGGACAGGCAGGAGGACCTTGGGTGTCTTTCAGCCGCTGCGCCTCATCTCATGGCCATGCTACTTGCCCCTGAGGGAGACCCGGATGCTCCAGACATCCCGACCCCGCGCTCTTACGCTGAGTACTCCTCTCAGTGGCAGACAGCCATGGACGCAGAGATGGCATCCTGGAAGTCCACAGGCACTTACGTTGACGACGTTCCCCCTCCTGGGGCGAACATCGTCGATGGCATGTGGATTTTCAGGGTGAAGCGGCCGCCAGGTTCTCCGCCTGTCTTCAAGGCTCGTTACGTTGCTCTAGGCTTTAGCCAGCGGGAGGGAGTTGACTTCTTCCAGACCTTCTCCCCCACCCCGAAGATGACCACTCTTCGGGTGCTGCTGCACGTTGCCGCTCAGCGTGACTACGAGCTTCACTCTCTTGACTTCAGCACAGCTTTCTTACAGGGCAGCCTGCACGAGGAGATCTGGCTGCGCCGCCCACCTGGCTTCACTGGGTCGTTCCCTCCTGGTACTCAGTGGAGCCTCCGGCGGCCAGTCTACGGTCTCCGTCAGGCGCCGCGTGAGTTGCACGACACACTGAGGACGACACTTGCGGCTCTTGGGTTTGCTCCTTCCACTGCTGACCCGTCGCTGTTTCTGCGCACCGACACTTCGCTTCCGCCGTTCTACATCCTCGTGTACGTCGACGACTTGGTCTTTGCCACTGCTGACACTGAGGCTCTCGCCCTGGTGAAATCCGAGCTGCAGAAGAGACACACGTGCACAGACCTGGGTGAGCTACGTAGTTACCTTGGCTTGCAGATCACCCGGGACAGAGCACGGCGCACCATCACACTGACTCAGTCACACATGGTGCAGCAGGTCCTTCAGCGCTTCGGCTTCACCTGGTCCTCGGCACAGGCCACTCCTCTGGCTACAGGTCACTCGCTCTCAGCTCCACCTTCGGACGAGTCCGTAGAGCCGAGTGGTCCTAACCCAGAGCTAGTGGGCTGCCTCATGTACCTGATGACCTGCACTCGTCCTGACCTTGCGTACCCTCTTTGCCTTCTGGCTCGCTACGTGGCTCCTGGTAGGCACCGAAAGGTGCACATGGATGCTGCTAAGAGGGTACTGCGCTACTTGTGCAGTACGTCGGGCATGGGGCTCGTGCTTGGAGGACGGGGCGACGTTGTCCTCACTGGGCACTCGAACGCTTCTTGGGTTGACGACCTGGCTACGCAGCGGTCGTCACAGGGTTACACCTTCAGTCTTGGCTCTGGCTCTGTTTCTTGGCGGTCTACACGCTCGTCTCCTGTTCTCAGCTCCAGTTGTGAGGCTGAGATCTACGCCACAGCCATGGCTGCACAGGAGTTACGCTGGCTCACCTACCTGCTGACCGACCTGGGAGAGCGGCCTCGTTCTCCTCCAGTTCTGTACGTAGACAACAAGGCAGCCATTGCCTTGTGTCAGGAGCACAGACTGGAGCACAGAACAAAGGACATCGCTCTGCGTTACTTCCTTGCTCGAGAGTTGCAGCAGCGTGGTCAGCTTCGTCTTGCTCACGTGGCCACTCGGGCCAACACTGCTGATATATTCACCAAGGCCCTTCCGTCTGGTGATCATCAGCGTTTCTGTACTTTGTTAGGCCTTGTGCCCACGTTTCCTCACTTGCTGTAGACTTTGCTTGTACTGTGATATATATATATATACCTGCATGCTTGCTCTGCTAAGGAGAGATCACTGTGCTGTTGTTGTTGCATATATACCTCTGCATGTGAACTGGCCTTATGGCCCTTTGCTTGTGCTCAGTGTGTGTGGTGACATTGTGATCCACCCTGAGCTTGCTTTGCTTCTTTTGACTGGTCTTGTGACCCCTTGCTCTCCCCCACTTTGCCTATGGGGGTGTGTCAAATTATATGTATGCTATATATGTTTAGGCTGTAGTGGGGTAGCCAATATGGGGTACAGCCCCTGTTAGGGTTTCATACTTGTACCCAACACTTTCCTAGTTGATTCATTCCTGCCTAGCATTTCAGACAGGCTGGACCACTTTCCGCTGTGTCCGGTCCTCTAAAGCCCTGCAAACACAGGAGCAATGTCATGATAAGACTCCATCCAATAATGAATTAAACCACAATAGGGGGAGATAGAACCCTATCAGCAGTACCAAAGGTCTCCGTGGCCACAGATGTTGCCGCTTTTAAGTCCCTGACCCCAGGCCCAGCAGACGGAGCAGAGGATGGCATGGTGGCGCAGGTTCAGGCGGAACTTGGAGAACACATAGAACTTCTCGAACAGCAGTGGGTCCTCGCACCCTGCAGGTACGCGTACCACAGGCAATGGCTGCAGCTGCCGCACGAGAGGTGGGTAAGAGAACGAGGCCAGGGGGACATCGCTGGCGGCTGCATTCACGTTGCCAGAAGAAACTGCTCCCATGCCGGCAGCGTGTGCATTAGGCGTGTGAATGTCGATCTTGAGGAGGTCCAGCGTGGCACGAAGCGAATCCAGCTCCTTGGTCCCCATATCTGGTTGACTCTGCGGGAGCACGCACAGCGAAGGTTGCGGATATGGACGAAAGCGAGCCTTGCTAGAAACGAGGGCCGGAAGTACAGGCAAAGGCGAGAGATCGCTCATTTACACGCATTGACCGTTTCAATGGCTGGCTGGCGGGATGGAAGGTACCTGCAGTTGTTTGTACGCCAGAAGCAGCATCACCTGCGAGAAGTCTCTAGCATCCACAGACGCCAGCTCCCAACTGCTGTCTGCTGACACTCCACCTCGTGTTTCCCCGCTCCCCTCTCCCGCCACACCCTCTCGCGCAGGCCCCTCCGCGTCATGCGCGCCGTTGCGGGGAGCAGCGGCGGACCAGCGGTCGCTGAGCAGCGAGGCGAGGAAGGGCGAGTGGCGCGAGAGCAGCGACGCGTTGCAGAGGAACTGCGTCCTCTCAGGGCCCACCAGCAGCGACACCACTCGCTCGCCGCCCACGCTCAACGCCTGCTGCGCTCCTGGCCTTCCGTGACCATCGTGGGATACTGACAGCTTTTCCGTGTCCATGGCTGAAATGCGCGTTAGACGCTGTCCCATCAGCCAGCAGATAGATACTCAAGAGAGTTTCCTTTGTTATTATAATTTTTAAACACACACTGTGTTTTTTTAAATTGTGTATTGTGAAAGCGAAGCTGCTTGTACTGCACATTTGGCATCGTCGAAGCGCGCTAAACGCCCTTCTCCCACCCACGTTTCTCTATTTCCAACGGCTCACTCAACTTTCCCGCTCGAGTAGTTTTTTTTTTTTTCCTCCGTCCAAACTGGCTAGAACCAAAACGCTTCCTCGAGGCGTTTCACACTCGACTCTACTCAGCGATATTTTTAACTTCAATCGCTCAACGATGGCACCTACGCCGGCCAACCCCGCTTCCGACTCCGACCGTAACGCCCGCGATTTTGCGGGCGATCGACGTAACAAGCGCCGGGCAGAAGACAGACCTTCCGCCCCGACTGGAGTGGACGTGCTGCTGGGCGGGCTCGATGCCCAGCACCCTTCGGCGAATGTGGCGCCAGTGGCGCCTGTGGCACCTGTGGCGCCAGTGGCAACGGCGGCTGGCGCGACACACGCGACTGACGCGGAGCACACGCCAGCACCCGCGGCTGGACCGTCGCGTCAGCGCCAGAGGCGACGACCGGCGGTCTCCTCGTCTGACGCGACGGCGACCCCTACGCTGACGCAAGCGTTGACCCCGGACCAGGTCAACGCGCTGCTGTCCCTTCTACAGAAGCAGCCCTTCAGCGTTACAGCCGCGGAAACTGCACTACCTGCTGCATCTGCGTCTGCTAAAAACGAAACTGCAAAAAAGGAAAAAGGAGTGCGAGGAGCAAGGACGAACCGGCGCAACAACGACGCAGCGACCGGCGTTCCCCCTGCTCCAGCGGTCGACAACGACACCGACGACTCCGAAGATGACGCCGGTGAGGCTCCAGTCGACAATACTAATATTATTGGCACGGAAAATCTCCCCCCCCTCCCTTCTTCTAACCTCACTTTTTCGGCGACGACATTCGTCAACGACTCCGTGCGAGAGCAAGCGGAGCTGCTGGAGGACTTGCGCGCGTACCTGCTGCACGCGGAATACAAGGCGCAGCGCGGCGACTCGGCAGGCGGACTCGAACTCATCTCACACGCCCTCAACCTCATCGCGGGGCGTTTCGAGGTGCTTCAAGTGGAGGACGCCTCCGCCTTCCGCACGGCGAAGCGCTTCAAGCTGTACCAGCAGAAGAGCCTGCTGACCTCGACCCTTCAAGAAGGCGGTCGCGGACATGGCTGCGATGGACCGCGCCGCAAGCGCATACGCTCGTGTCAACCGCGGCGGAAACAACGCGCCGATGCCGTTCGTTCCCAAGCGGGGCCCCCCACCCATGGCCAATTGTCGTGGGTTTCGGGGCTCATGCTTCCGCTGCGGCCAGCCGGGCCATGTGGCAAGTGCCTGCCCCAGGAACGGGCATGGTGGCCAAGGTCCCGCTCCGGTAGTGTAGGAGCGGACCATGGGAAATGCGCTCGGAGCGCAAGGCACGGTGCACTCTAGAGTGCGGAAACAGTGGGCAGCCCTAGGGGTTTGCGATGACAAGAGGCCAGCCCTAGACAAGGGTAGAGTAGGCCTTGGGCCTAGGTTAGGGAAGGGGAACATCAACCCCTCGGTCCCATGCATTGGCCACTAGGTGGCGTATGCATGCTAGAAAAGCATTGCTATGTGTGTCGGGTCGATTTAATAAAACATTATTCCTAAAGGCCCTCTGATTTTGGCAAGTGACACTCTAAAAAACAAAGAAGTGGTGCAGAGCAAGAGAGAAAGAGAATCAGAGCGAAAGAAAGAGAGAGAGAGAGAGAGAGAGAGAGAGAGAGAGAGAGAGAGAGAGAGAGAGAGAGAGAGAGAGAGCGAGAGAGAGAGAGAGAGAGAGAGAGAGAGAGAGAGAGAGAGAGAGAGGAGCGTGAGGAGCCTGGGGGTGCTGAGTCTGGGGGTGCGGCGCCTGAGGGTACTGAGACTGCTGGTGCGCGGTCTCCTTGGAGAGGCCGCCTTCGTCCGTGTGCGCCTCTCTCCCCTCAGCAGCTGCACGAGTGGTACGCTAGCCGTCAGGGTCCCGCTGCTGGAGCTCGGGGCTCTGCAGCTGGGAGTGGTGCTGGTACTTTGTCTACAGGAGGTGCTGGACTCGCTGGTTCCGGAGGTGCTCGTACTGGAGGTACTGCAACCATCCATAACCTCCTAAGTGCAAGCAAGGCAAGCACACCAGTCCCCGTCCGTCATGTGGCCAGAATCACAGGCATGCTCGCCTCAATGAGTGTCGCACTAGGCGCGACAGCTCGCGCATTCAGCCACGCCATGTTACAAGTGATCAACAATGCGCCGTCATGGAAAAGCAGTGTGATCGTCTCCCCATCTGTAGCTGAGGAGCTCAACTTCTGGCGCGAAGAGTTTGATCGGTTTAACGGTGCACCATTTCACGTCCGAAACAGTTACGACGCTGTAATCCATGTGGACGCCAGCTCTCACGGTTGGGGCGCCACCCTGACCACGTTTCCGGGCGGCCTCGAAGAAGCTAGTGCAACCATGCCAGAGCCGCTACGAGCAACGTCCAGCACGAGGCGGGAGATTGAAGGCGTCTTTTGGGCAATCCAAACGTATGCCAACAAGATCCAGAAAAAACACGTTCTCGTGCGGGTGGACAACCAAGGTGTATTCTTCATCCTTCGCAAAGGCGGCTCTCGCAGCCCCGACCTCACCATGGCCTGCAAGGGCATCGTACGAACATGCATGGAGCTCGGCACGCGCTTAATCATCGAATGGATTCCCCGCGAACTCAACTTACACGCTGACGAGCTTTCTAAAGTAGTCGATCACGACGACTACTCGTTGAAGACGCCATGGTTCCGCATCTTGGAACGTCGTTGGGGTCCCCATTCCATCGACCTTTTTGCAAACTCCCGCAACACCCAGCTATCGCGCTTCTGCACAAAGATCCCTCACCCAGACGCCTTCACAATTGATACATTTTCGCTCGCATGGACAGGCGAAAATGGTTTCGCGTTCCCCCCGCCCCAATTGGTCCCCGCCGTCCTCCACCACGCACAACGCACCCACGCATCACTCACACTGATAGTTCCGCATTGGCCGGGCACAAGCTGGTGGCCACTACTACAACCCTCCCCATGCACGTGGGCGTCACACATCCATGCACACATCCCTCTGACACACGGAAGCCAATGCTTAGCTGCAGGGACACATTCCACTGCCTTCTCAGGCTCAGGATTACCGCACAGCCCAATCATAGCACTCCGAGTGGTATTTGACTAATTCATAACTTCTCCCCCTTGTGTTCAGATTTGCTCCCAAAGCTACACGACCAGCTGATTAACATGATCGCACAGTCTCGTGCAAACTCGACGATCCGGACATACGAACCATACTGGACTAAGTTTCGGGCCTTTTGTACAAAGGTGAACCTTCCATTTCTCCCCGCATCCGACATGACCCTCGCGCTATACCTGGTACACGCAATCCAACGTAAAGCTACCCTGTCCGTAGTACAGCTCACGTGCTCAGCAGTCAGCTTCGCCCATCGCATGACCGGGAGCACATGCCCGACGGACGGGCCATTCACCACACAAGTCCGCAACTTTGCGAAGCGCCATTGCCCTCGCCCTACTCGTCTGAAGGAGCCCGTATCTATCCAACAAGTTCGAGACATGGCGGCGAGCTACCTGCTGTCCGACAATCCGGCGGAATTCCAGAAAGGGCTGATCCCTATCCTCATGTACACAGGATTTCTGCGATACTCTGACCTCGTGGCTATCAAATGGCAAGACATCCAATTTGACGACGATGTCATGTGGATCCTCATACCACACTCCAAGACGGATCAGGCCGGTCATGGAACATGGATACCCATTGCGGCAACGGCGGACCCTTGCTGCCCCGTGCGCTGCACCAGACGCTTCATTCAACTTGCTGGCTATGGCCCGCACTCGGAGGGGTCGTTGATCCGCGTCTTCGGCCATGCCTCAACCAGCGTGGGCCAGGCCAGGCCACCTTCATACACGACGATCCGGAACTGGTGCAAGGAAGCCTTCGCAAAGGTTGGGCTTGGAGAGCAGCAGCTCGGCACGCATTCCTTCCGAAAAGGCGCGGCCACAGTGGCAGCCAACACCGGTGTACCAGACAGAATCTTCAAAAGACTGGGCAGGTGGCGAAGTGACACAGCCAAGGAAATGTACGTCACGCCATACGTCGAACCTCCCATCAAGGCATCGCGCATCCTGCAGAACCCGACACTTGCATTGTCCTCGGAGCAACACGCCGAGGCACTCGTACGCAACCGGAAACCCCCGCTGCCCATGTCTCAGAGGCCCCATTTGCAATGAGAACGATGCCAAATGATAAAAACAAGAAAGCAAGCTTTCTCAATATTATAAATTTTAAACACACACTGTGTTTTTAAAATTGTGTATTGTGAAAGCGAAGCTGCTTGTACTGCACATTTGGCATCGTCGAAGCGCGCTAAACGCCCTTCTCCAACTACAAAAACCGTGGGTTGGAGCTCATTTCCCTCCACCCACGTTTCTCTATTTCCAACGGCTCACTCAACTTTCCCACCACCCACCCCAGCATCGACTACCTACTACGGCCGTTTGGACACGGTACATCTTAGCTAGTATTCTCTGCATGTACTAGCTTGTGTTAGAACTCGATGGATATGTTGTAATATACCATTTGCAATGAGAACGATGCCAAATGATAAAAACAAGAAAGCAAGCTTTCTCAATACAATATAAAAGAGAGAGAAATATACTGAGTCTCTTGCCCAGTGAAGGGTGAACGCAAAGGTCGAAAGACCCATTGTCATGGTTGTCGCGCCGCCCACGAGTCGGGTTTGGCGAAACGAGGACATCTGTAGTAAAATGGCGACCACTTCGCTAGATTCAACCAGTTTGCATTCTCGATGTTATCATGTTCCGATCCGAGGCTCTCTTCCCTAGTATACCGCTGCATGTGTGAAAGTATAGC